TAACGTATTAATCTGTTTAATATTCTTATTTTACCCCCTTCTTAAATCCCGCCCCTTTTTGCTCTGACTGCCAATAACAGTTGAGCAAGCCTCGGCCAATTTCCTCCTTTCCTGCACTTAAATATGCTATGTGCTAGGCTGGTCTATGCTGAAGAGACCACATTTTGAAGATGGTTAAAAGATAAAAGAGACATATATACAGTCACCTCTTATGTTAGCTACTTAATGTTAGCAAACCGCTAGCTAACTAGCTTGCTAATTTACATGAATTGTCAGTTAGGTAGTTGACTAAAGTTTTGCTACCTTTAGCCAACTTAAGATGTGACTATATGTCGCGTTTATCTTCAAAATTTGGTTGTCTTTTGAGGACTAGGCTGGCACATAGCATAGCCTAAATATTTAGGACGAACTTCAATGCCTTTGTCAAGGGCAATGGCTGTTGTATTCCAAATATGCTTTTATGTGCGTTGAGAGGAAACTGGAGCACCCAAAGATTAGACAACCTTTACAGATAAGTGTCCAGATGGCGACAGTGCTCACCACTCCCCGAGAAAAAGATACAGACAGAAGGAGAGAGAAAGAGAGGGACTGAGCACAGAGAAAGAGACACAATTATTTGGGTGTGACGGAAAGAAAAAAGGGAGAGTGCAACATGACATCATAGGTCACATTAGGTCTCCGTGGCTCGCTCCTTTCTTAATTCAGTTTGCATGATGGGAACAGAGCACTGTTGTTCATTTGGTTCACATTAAGCTGAATCTGGCATGGACAATCACAACTTTAACGTTGCACCACACTATCTAAAAAGGAGTAGTACTTGTGTTTTGGGTAGTTTGGGTAAGTACTGTAACTCCCAGAGTGCCTATCTTCCTGTGAGACTGGGCATGTAGAGCCAGAAAGGGGCTGCAAGACATTAGTAATACTTGTATAGTTTATATGAATGTTCCAATCCTGTTTATTTCCTGTTTATTGGACAGAATTGAATGAGTTTTTTTGTGAAAATAAACAGCTAACTGAATCCATATAATCTCAAAACACAAGAGAAAGGATAACATGCTATAGCACCAAAGACTGTTTCAGCACCACCTGCTCTGCTTCCTGTTGACATTCAAATGATGAACTGCTTCAAACATTTGAGTTACAAGTCCTTTCATATTTCAGTCTTACCGGAAACAGGAGGGCTGGGATGTGGAATATGACCTTAGCTGTGTAAACATTATTGTGGCCAGATACTCCTGCTGCGATGATGACTGAGTAGATGTTTCCATCAAGTACTACTAAATAGAC